TTACGTGCATCTCCTACGTCGATTAAGGGTAGGCAATGCATCTGCAATTGCGGATGTTTGGGCAGTGGTCGCTTCGCCTTTTTAGCAGATTCAGGCGGCCGCTTGCTCGTTTGCCACCTTATGATATAAAAAAAAAACACTTCTTTTATCTTCGTCCTTTCCCAGTTATTTGGGATCGACCTTACTTGTCCTAAGCCTCCAGACAGCACGAATCCTAGAGGCTTGTTCGTCAAGTTGAATGGTTATTGTTCGGAAACCGGCCATTAGATAAGTTAACCATGGACATTGTGTTATGTTTTTGTCGAGTATACCTTGCTGGCGTTGTCATCTCGTATGAAGACGGAGCGCAGCTGGCCGTTCAGCTCGAAGAAGACCTCGCGCTCGCCCGCTGACGTCATCTCCTCCGACACCGCCAACGTCTTGATGTCCAGCGTCTTGCCGCGCTCGATCTTCACCTCGATTGTATCACCCACCTATATATTTGGGGGTAGACAGATATAAACATTAGTCTCGTCTGAATATTGAAACATAAAAGATATGTAAATTTTTTTTTAATAATAAGGCGATGCAAATTCCTTACAAAGTTTGACCGACCGTTTAAACGACCCTTTCGTTTCAGTATTTGGCTATAAGGATATAAAAAATTATTAGTCTTTCTAATAAAAGTGTTTTCTTGCACAGTTTTGACCTTAGTTTCACCTTGGCATAACAACCCCTGTTAGAGTTTAGCTATTTATTACTTAACCAGTTGTTGTTTGCGACTTCACCCGAGTGGAATTAAAAAAAATTTTTAAATCACCTCGGTTTTTATTAGTGAAAGAATTTTTGAATTCTGTCCAGTATATTTTGAGTTATTTCAATATACAAAAAAACAAATCTCTCCTCTTTATAATATAGATATATTCTTACAGTAGGTCCAACAAGGAACGTCTTGGTGTCCAGATGCTTCACGGGTCCATATTTATCTCTGATGCGGAAGAAATCGTTCGCCACTTGCGGGTACATCGCCGCTGACATCACATCCTTGTCTGTCACCTGGAACGATTTAAAACTACTTGTTATTGTGAGTTTTCACTATCAAAATAACTGCGATATATAAAGGCGATGGTGTTCATGTTTCGTCATGCCCATTAGGGGGAGAGTGAC